TATACAGAACAGCCAAAATATTTCAGCCAATTCCCGACTGCAGCGACACAGTTGAACCCTCATATTTCTGGGTCGATTACAACTCTGCGTCCATGCAAAGTTTCAATCAAATGGAAGTTCAAGCGTCCACACAGCCAGTAAAGCAACAGCATCCATATCAGCCCCTGAGATTTTCCTTCGGAAATATGATACGCTCCTAGATCTTACAACAGCTGTAACGACTGGTGTTCTAGACTTAACACGCGCCAACGCTAGATGATGTCTATATCTTCCTCGGTACATACGCAGCAAGAGACTGACACGAAAAGCCCCGCCGTTCCCGACTGTGCGCGAACCCATAGACTAAAAAGCACAATTGTAAAAGATGCTCATCCTTGCGCCTGCACCAAATGCACAATGAAGTATTTTCCATGAATTAGGCAGTCCACGTGTGTGCCAGGGCCGCCAGCTGTCATATTTCGAGGCGTTTTTGACGAAAACCAACTTCAATCGAACAAAGAGCTATACCAAACCCGGCACAAAAAGCCGTGGAAGACGCAGAAAAACTAAATTTTGCATCAGAACAACATCTAGGTCTCTCACTCTTATCTCATAGATGCATCAGATTCAGGCTGGCAGGGTATCAGAGAAGAACAAAACAGTAGTTTATGGAACCATTTCTTCAAATTTTCTCTCTTTAATTCGCAGTAAAAACAGGAGGATTGGAGAGCAGTGAGCTATGTTACGCACAGTAGATCATGTTTCAAGGCAACGCTTGTGAATGTGGGGTCCGAAAATTATGTGACACCGAAGTATCACTGGTCGCCAATTTCAACGTGGGATAACATCAGAACCGTATCTAGACGCGAGGGCGACTAGAGCCCTTAACTAGGCAACTTGCATCGAAAGCCTGTTCGGAAATGAGATTGATGCCTGGCGCAGGCGGATGTAAAGCAGCAGAGGAGTTAAGAAGCAGGAATAAATGACCAGTTTCAGAAATTCCGCCTGTGTCCTTCACGTGACCGGTAGTCATTGAATGAAAGAACAAAACCGATCCGGGAAACCTGGAGAGAAGGCTCGATCCTGGGCACCAGTACATTTTGTGATACACGGTGGATAAAAAACCCCTCCAAGCGAATCCGATTCCCTCATTCGCGGTGTGGTTCACCTTTGCGCTTTGAGTCCTCCTGAAAACAAACCACCAAGCAACTCTACTCCAGCTACCATTTTACACATATCCCGCTGGTAAATAACTTGAGCGCTCCAAGGGCCTCCTGAGTGGAGTTAATGCGCATCGGATCAAGTGGAATTTTGAGGCGGCACTGGCCTAAATCATTCAACAGAGCACTTGCATCCAACACGTTGATGCACCCACTAGATACCGCGCGGGCCAACTACCAATCCTCCTGAATTTGGTCATCATCAACGAAAGACACTTCATTAATCAGGTAACAAGTAACGCTCCACTGGGACATGATGACCATTGTGCGCTGACCTTTGATTTCATCTGCTATTGGGCCAGAAATCCCGAACCTCAAACGTGAATTCAAGACTTTTGCCGTGAAGACTTCTCATGAATGCTCATCTTTCTTGAACAAGTTAAATCCGGCTTCGATTGAAGACTTATAAAGGACTCTTGTTCAAGAATTTCACGGGGCTGACGCGATATTCGTCAAAAAACCAGCATGTAGTCGGATGGGGCGCAAGCTACTTAAAAGGATTCGGCGCCTCCTAGAAGAGAGATCTCAATTATGTTTCAAAATTTCGACTAGGGGGACACAGAATATGAGCTATAACCTCGTAAAATGCGGAACAATTGCAAATCAGAACCCCTCCAAACGAACATCCAAAACAAAGCCGTCATTCTGGACCTCGTGGGACATCGCCGCAGAAACAAGTCATATGCGTTCTCCTTGGGTGACAGGAAATGGAGACCCACGATCGACTCAACAGTGGCATCTGAAGTCTACAGAGAAAACTATGCAGGTCTATATTCAACCCCCGCGTCCACATCACATTCACTCTTGTCAGGGCGTAACCACTGACGGCCCCTAACCGAATTGTCGTCATGGCGGAGGACATTCGTCAACTCTTGCAAAAGATCAACCCATTGTGTGCGTTAGGGGCTGACGAAGTCCATCCAAAAATCCTGAAGAAAATGTCGTCTACACTAACAGATCACTCATACCTCATGTTTCGTCAGTCGTTTAACAAAGCCCGTCTTTCCTCAGCTTGGCAGGAAGCAAAGAAGCCATTCTACAAAACTGTTGACTCGCTGTCGCCTGGCAGCTACAGGCCTAACAGCCTTACTAACGTGCCGTGCAAGGTGATGGAACGCATTCTGAAGCGAGCTATCCCAGATCATCTCACTTACAACTTGATATCTCAAGCTTGACACGGATTTCTCCCAAACCGTTCTTGAGTGACAAACATGCTCGTGTTTATGAACAGTTTAACCCAAGCCACGGAAGAGGGACTTATATCGGAATCCATATTTTTCGACTTCTCAAAAGCAGTTGATCGTATCCCACTAGTCCCGCTGCTCCACAAACTCAGGTCTTACGGAATTCAAGGAAAAATCCTACGCTGGTTCGAGGCGTTCCCATCAGACAGATCATTCCGATTGAGAATGAATTCCATCCACCCTTCTTCAGCGGCAGTCTCCATTGGCCCCTCGAGGCTCCGTCCTGGGAACACTGCTGTTTCTGATGTACTTAAACGACTTTCCAGATGTTCTTGCATGTCCATGTCTGCTTTTGCGGACGACTTGAAATCACGAAGCTCTAATGCCAGTGACACCCAAATAGATGTAGACGCTTCAAAACAGTGGTTGTTGGACTGTTAAATTCTTCTGAATGAGGAAAAGTGTGCCCATATGTCAGGAGACTCAGCGAATACCTTTGTCGTGCATGATGAAAAAGGACCACGGATTCACGGATTGATACACAGGATCGAGGCTTTTGCCCAAGTTTCCCGGGTCGGTTTTGTTCTTTTCGGTCAGTGGCTGTCGTTCACCTGAAAGGCACAAGTGAAAAAGGTGTGTAGCACTGCTCTTTATGTTCTCAGCGCGGAGCAGTATGCTCGCCAGCGCGAGGATTCGCGTAAATAAATGTCTAATAGTGCTTGAAATTGGGTTCGAGAAGGAGCGTGTACAACCGTCGGAGGAAGGTCATTCCGCGCAGCTACTACCCGAAATGAAAAAAAGTTTTGTCTAACGGATGTGTGTGCCCTGAGCTTGAAGATTTTCTTACTATGTCCCCGCCGGGTGTTTGCTGGGTCAACGGTAAAAAACCTGTTTGCCAAGCTTTGTTCAAACAGGGCGTAGGTAAGAATTAGGTCCCCTCGGAGGCGACGGTACTCCAGGGGAAAGAGATCAAGCGTCGCGAGACGCGTTTCGTAGTCCACGGACTTGAGGCCGGCAACCATTCTCGTGGCGGCCCGCTGGACACGCTCAATGAGGGTAACGTCTTTCGTACGTCCTGAGTAGACAACTTGGTTGGCGTACTCCAGGAGCGGTCTGACGTAGGCCCCATAGAGTATTTGGAAGTCCATGCGAGTAATACGGGAGAAGGTACGTCGGATCATCCGTAAAACGGCGAATGCCTTTTGGGTCGATTTCTCATGGTGTAGTGCGAAGGCCATGTTTGAGGAGACCCAGATGCCTAAATCTTTTTTGGCATCTATCCTCATGATGTTTTCTGGTCCCTTTTCACCATGCATAACAAAGGCATTCGCTGAATCCCCTCCGAACGACACATGGACGCACTTTTCATCATTCAGAGGAAGGTGCCAGTCCAACGACCACTGCTTGGCAGCGTCTACATCCATTTGGAGGGCACTGGCATTGGAACTCCAGGATTTCAAGTCGTCCGCAAAAAGTAAACATGGACTCGCAAGAACGTCTGGGAGGTCTTTGACGTAGACCAGTAGACGTCACGATGATAGACGCAAAAAGGATTTAGGTATCTGGCTTTATTCAAACATGTCCTTCTTGCTGCACCATGGGAAGTCGGCACAAAAGACATTCGCCGTTCTACGGATGATTCGGCGCATCTTCCCCGCATCAATCGCATGGACTTCCAAATACTCTGTGTGGCCTACGTCAGACAGCTTCTTGAATATGCCAACCAAATTGTATACTCTAACTCACTGTTAGCCTAACAAACACACGGCGGGGACATTGTAAGAATATTTTCGAACTCAGAGCACACAATTTCAGCAGAAGAAATTTCCCGCTCATTTCAGGTACTATGTGTCTGGAATAACCCTCCTCCGACGGTTGCGCACGCTTCCTCTAGAGCCCAGTTATAAGCACTATTAGACGCTTATTTATGTGAGTCATCGAGCGGGCAAGCAAACTTTCAACACTGAGGGCTTAACGAGCATCGTTACACTCTTTTTTCACTTATGCCTTTGAGGTGAACGACGGCCACTGAACGACAAGAATAAAACCAACCCGGGAAACTTGGGCAAAAGCTTCGATCCTGGGTATCAATTCGTGGATCCGTGACGGTCGAAAGGATTGCGGGCTGTTTATAGCATCTGTTTAAGTGGACCGGTAGCATAAAAAGCAACGACAAATAGGTGGTCTTGGATAACCAAGGCTTTCTATCAACATCAAAAACAATCGTGAGAAATGAAATAATCGGAAGAGGGTCCTGATTAGTCAGAATATGTGCCAATAGGAGTTGAGCTCTCCGCTCGTCGCCCCGTCTGGGGAGCCCCAGAGTTGTGGGAGGATTGTAATTAATATGTAGTACGATTGTGACCGTCTTTATTTGTTTTTTTTTGCTTAGTTGCGACAAAACCACGAGAAAAGAGAATCCTAGCAGAAGTTTACAGCGTTTACATCAATTAAGAGGGCACTGACATTTGAACTCCAGGATGCCAGGTTTTCTACTATTTGCGGACAACCTAAAATCCTGGAGTTCAAATGCCAGTGCCTCCAACTGGATGTAGACGCCGCAAAACAGTGGCTGTTGGACTGGAAGTCTCTTCTGAGTGGTGGAAAGTGCGTTCATATGTCATTCGGAGGGGACTCAGCGAACGCCTTTGTCGTGCGTGGTGAGAATGGACCAGAAGACGTCGCGATGATGGACGCCAAAAGGGATTTAGGTAGCTGACTCTCTTCAAACATCTCACTGCGCCATGAGAAATCGGCTCAAGAGGCATCCGCCATTCCACAGATGATTCGGCGCACCTCCCGTATTACTAGGATGGATTTCGAAATATTCTATGGGGGCTACGTCAAACCGCCTCTTGAATATACCAACGAAATTATCTAGGCGGGACGCAAGAAGGACGTACCTCTCATTGAATGTGTCCAACGCGTTGCTACAAAAATGGTTGCCAGCCCAAAATCCATTGATTTTGAAACGCGTCTTGTGACGCTTGATCTGTTCCCCCTGGATTATCGTCGCCTCCAAGGAGACCTAATACTTACTTATGTCCTATTTAAACAAGATTTGGCTAGCAAAGTTTTCACCGTTGACTCAACTAAAACGTGGCGGAGATATAGTGGGAATATTTCCAAGCTTAGAGCGCACACATTCATTAGGCAAATTTTTTATCATTTCGGGTAGTTGCTACGCTTGTTCGCGCTACACCTAGTGCGCAATTCAAGGCACTTTTTGATCTCTGCTGTGAGGCTGTGTGTTGGTAAGCTTACCTCCCTGCGCTGAGATCTTGAAGAATGGTGCTACCTGCTTCATTCGCTTGTGCCTTTCAGGCGAAAGGAAACCTCTGAGTAACAACAACAAACCTAACCCGGGAAAGTTGGACGAAATCTTCGATCCTGTGTATCATTCCTTGAATATGTGAATTCCGAAGTCCCAACGGAGTATATGGGAGTACAAAGTCCCGAACTGAGACCTTACAGTTCAGGCGTATAGACTGCATGTCGAAACACACGGTCGCTTCTGGATTCTACGTAGGATAGATTGTGCTAAAATATGACCGTCAAGTAGTGACAATATCATCTGCATTCGGCTATCTCTACGTTCTCCTGGTGCGACTTCGAAGCTCGCAGAAACAGTGACATTCTGGTGGACTTCATTGGTTGTGAGAAAGTTACAGATAGCTCGTTGTAGATATCAATTCGACCAGAAGTATGGGAATAAAATGCACGGAGGATATTGAAAAAACTCAAGGACATTCTTCTTTGGCAGTGTTTATATAGAATAGTCAGTCTGTCCAGAGTCGAAGACTTTTTTGAAGCTAAAGGAAACCGTAGTTGAAGGTATGTGTAACGCTGTATAAGCACTCAACAAAACACGAACGTGCACTTACTATACCTACCTGAACGATATCTTACATAATGCTGGAGGCGAGATGGCTCAGTGGTTAGAGCGCGAATTTACTGACCGGAAGGTCCGTTGTTCGAACCCGACCTCCGCCTCTCGGCCTCCCTTGTCTAGTCTTGAGCAACTTGACAGTGTCCCAGCCCTCGTGCTTCCTTCTGGTGGCATGGCATAAGCACCGAAATGGTGTTAAAGCTGATCAATTATTTTTTATTATTATTTACATGATTCTGTCAGACTTGTGTTTGACGCGATCATTTCCGATGTAGCAGCACTGTTGGGTCTTGAGGTCACGTGACAACTCGAGTTGGACTTATAGTTAGACCCCTCATATTGCCTATCTACGTCATCCTACGAAGCTGTGTGGACATGGGAGCCGATGACAGCAGGCAGGATTCTGGTCTGGAAGTGGAGTTTTGGTCCGCCTCTTTACACCGCGTCAATCGTTAGAGCAATGGCATGTGTATTCACTTTAGGAACTTGTTGTCCCTCCAGTTTAAGAGTGCGTTCAGTTCGGTTGACCGTTCGTTCGTTCTTATCAACGAGGTTCCGCAACAAGGTATACTCCAGAAGCTCATGAACATCGCATCGTTTGCATTCGTCTACCTGTGGGGGCGGAAAAGTGCTTTAGGAAGCTCATTAAAGGCCTCCCTTCAAGCACCGATATCCTACAGTGTGTCCAGTATCTCCATTTCTGTTTGATTTCGTCATTAATGAAGTAATCAGGCGAGGGAATGTTTTCGAAACCCAGGTGTTTATGTCTCCGAGTACGTGAGGGAATTATGGCCAGTAAATTGTCTTGAATGAACTACCCTCCAAAACCCCGGTGTTCAAATAGCCTGTGAAGAAAACCTTGTCGGTCTGGAATATGCAGACGACATCGTTCTCATGTTCGAAGAGGAGGAAAAGACGCAAGTATTCTTGGATGAACTGACCAAAGTCATCCCGTCCTTTGGTATGCACTTCGCACCCACAAAGTGTAAGGACATGCTTGTGGACGTGCAGTCACTGAACACGTCACTTACAATCCAGGGAGAGGTACTGGAAGTTGTGGAGCGTTCTACGTATCTGGGAAGTTGTATTAGTTCTGATTGTAGTGTGACAGATGAGGTGAATGCACGAATCTGCAAGGCTCGGGCCGCGTTTGCTAACTTGAGACACCTATGGCGTCAGAATGGTTTATCCCTGAATCTGAAGGGACGTGTGTATCAAGCTACAGTACGGGCTGTTTTGTTGTATGGCTGTGAGACTTGGCCTATTCGAGCAGCGAACCTGAGACGTCTTCAGGTGTTCGACAATCGTTGTCTCAGAACCATAGCTCGCGTGGGTTGGTGTCGGCGAATCCATAACGAGGCAGTTAGAGTGCGTGTTCTAGGTTATGTAAAGGGTCCAGCACCAGAAGCTGCGTTGGTTGGTCGACAATCGTTCAGAACCATAGCTCGTGTGGGTTGGTGTCGGCGAATCTGTAATGAGGCAGTTAGAAAGCGTGTTTTCGGTTGTGTAACGAACGCTTCCATTGAAGAATGTGTACAGCACCAGAAGCTGCGTTGGTTGGGACATGTATTGCGTATGGCGAACCATCGTTTGCCGAAGAGAGTACTGTTTTCCATGCCCAATCTGGAGTGGCGTAAACAGAGAGGTGGCCAACCCTTGACCTGGCAGAGGAGTATGAAGGAGACGACGAAACGCTTGGGTGCTGTCGGTGCTACTCGCCTTCCAGGATGGCGACCGCGTGACCCTCACTGTGCCTGGTTGGATACACTACAAGATATGGCTGCCAACCGATGTCAATGGCGTTCTTGTTGTCAGTTTCTG